ATGTGCTAGGTATGTACTATTGTATGTAGTATATGTACTATGTATGTACTATTGTATGTACTATATGTACTATGTATGTACTATGTATGTACTATTGTATGTACTATTGTATGTACTATATGTACTATGTATGTACTATTGTACGTACTAGTATGTACTATTGTATGTACTATGTATGTACTATTGCATGTACTATGTATGTACTATTATATGTACTACTGTATGTACTATTGTATGTACTATGTACGTACTACGTACATACTATGTATGTACTATAGTATGTACTATTGTATGTGCTATTATATGTACTGTGTATGTATATGTACTGTGTATGTACCATGTATGTACTATGTACATACTATGTATGTACTATTGTATGTACTATCATGTACTATGTATGTATGTACTATATGTACTATGTATGTACTAGTGTATGTATGTACTATGTACTATGTTACTATGTATGTACTACGTATGTACTGGTGTATCTACTAGTGTATGTACTAGAGCGTGTACTAATGTGGTGTATCTACTAGTGCATGTACTGGAGTATGTACTAATGTACTATGTAGTAGACACGTACTACTATATATGTACAATGTATGCAGTATATATTTAGCATGTATGTCTTATCTATCTGACAAGTACTAGTCATTGACTTCGAATATATTTAGCATGTATGTCTTATCTATCTGACAAGTACTAGTCATTGACTTCGAATATCATACAGCAAACTGCCATCCACGTAATGAGCACGAAAATTGTACATGTTGGATCTACACCTCATGCAATATGTTTGTTATCTACTCTTATTTTCTTCAGACCCTCTTACACTGACTTACAGTCTAAGACGACGCTGCAGTGGGAAAGTCGGAGTTAGGGTGTATTCACAGAGGTCTATCTTGAATGTATCTGACTGCATTCACAGCGAGACCAGGATGCATCTGGCCCCAATCACGTCCATACATTAGTAAAGCAGTCCTCGTGCGAGTGATATGCCCTTAGCCATGCATGCATAAAACAGGAATCTGCAATACAAGTGGTTCTCGGAATGATCAGCTTGGGCACCTGGATAAGGTACATATAACATCATACATACTCTGGAAATGCCAGCTGATGTCGTTGCCGTAACCATGAAGCATAAAGATTGTTGCCTTGACATCCTTGTGGATCGGCAGCCAACACTGTGTGAATAACTTCATCCCTCGACTGTTCGTTATGAACCTCTGGGGAAGATAAAAGTGCACAAAACAGCCACACATGAGCATCAACTGCAAGAGCACTGCCCACCTAAGTTATACCAGATTGGCCCAGTTCCACTTGCCCGGCCGGGCCAAAATTGAATTAAAAAAAAAAAAGAGATTAAACTGTTTTGGGGCAGAAAAAGTGCACAAAGCAGCCACACATAAGCATCAACTGCGAAAACACTGCCCACCGAAGTTACAAGAGTGGCCCGGGTCCACTAGCCAGAGTGCCCAGCCGGGCCAAAAATGAATTAAAAAAAAAAAAAAAAACAGAAATTAAGTTTAATTAACTGTTTTTCCACACACAATCTAAATTCAAACAACTTCTGGGGCGAGGTCCTACTAGCAAAGAGGATTGGATTGAACGTCTGAATCTGGCTGAGTTTGTGGACAAGTGCAGAAAATCGAGATTGAGCTCCTTTTCTGCATCTCTGCCTAAAACACGCCCAGATTCAGGATCTTAATCCAATCCCCATTGGGACCATGCTCCTAGACTTCTAGTCATTTACCAATCAAACAACTCTTTCTTTCCAGAAATGGACTGAAAAGCTCAGGGGTTCAGTCAAAACTTCAGGGTTAAAAACTTAGAAAAACTCCTAAAAAAAATTAGGAGACGAAGTGCCATAAATAAAATGAATAGGCGGTGGGCAGCCTCCGAATGGGGGCCACAGTCAATAGCTGGCATGTACTACTGCCCTGAGCCAGAGTTGCCGAAGCGGTGCATTTTCCAATTTTTTTATTTCTCTCAAATTCACAATTATGCAAGGAAATGAGCAATGTGAATGACAATAAACCAAATTTGCCTGGTGCAATGTACTAGTGGTTTAAGGGAAAGAAAAGGTATAGAACGGGGGCAAATGAAAGAAAAAGGTCAGCTGTTATTTTTTATCACGTAGATGTCCAACAACCCGCAGGAAAACAACGAACAAATAAAGAGAAAAAAACTATGTTACCGGGGCCGGACGTCTGGGACCCCCCTGACAACCGCTCGGACGTCCTCCCGGGGCAGTCTGTTCGAGCCCAAACGCCAAAAAAAAAAAAAAATCCAAAAAAATCAAAAAAAAAAAAACTATGTTATGCAGAAAAATAAACTGCACAACTTTTGACCCTGGGGTCACATCGAAATTCTTTATCAAATTAAAATTAAAGACACCCCCAATTCTTTATTCTTTTTTTTGTGCTGAAAATGGAGTTGTCCGGGCCCAAAGGACGTCCTGGACCCCCCTGACTGCCCGGCCAGGACGTCATGCCATCGGACAACTGGTAGCCTAGGAAAAAAAGGATGCCTATGTGGTGGAGGCATACTTGCAATGCGTCAAAGAGAGGGCTGGAAAGGGTTGCGTCTTGCAATCCTCTGCCAACTCCAGCACTGGGAAACTGGTCCTTTAACTCTCTCTCTCCCTCTCCCTCTCCCTCTCCCTCTCCACACCTCCTTTCTCCTTTTCCTTTTCGTTTCTCCTAGACGTATCTGGACGTTGGCAGCCAGATCCACACAATGAAGTAGAACTTCTCCTCCTCTTTTCCTTCCCCTCTTCCTGGTAAATGCAGCAAGTATCAAGGCCATGGAAAATGATTCTCCTTTATTTTTATTTTTTTTCACTCCCCCTTTCATTAACCTCAAACTTTTCCTTTTTTCCATCCTTTATTACTTCCTCTTGCCACTTTTCGCAATTTCTTTAGCAGTGGTGGGTAAAGTTCGGGTTCGAATCCCCCTAGTGACGTTTCACCTACAATGTCTCCGACTTCTAGCACACACAAACTCTTCCTGTTCTGTGGTGTGAGAGCGATCACATGAAGTGACTTGTGCCTGAACTGGAAAACAAAATGCAGCCACAGAAAACAAGTGACACATACTGCTTACCAAAAACGAACGGAAACGAAAAAGACAAAAAAAGGAAGTACTTCTAAGCAGAAAAGAAGGGCATTTGCAAGCACGTGCCTGGCCCACTTGGGACGCGAAGCAGTGAAAGAGAACACATGCTACCAAGTTACTGACTGCGCTCTGCTTTCCGTTCTTGACTCCTTTTAAACCACGACAACCGACTAAACCTGGCAAGCCAGTGCTTCCTGGCGGAGTAATTTGTTCACGCCCCTTGCCGGGCTAACTTTTACAAAGAATCGGTTTACAACTTCACATCTGCATTATTTGGGCGCTCAACCTTCCGGGACCTCTTCAGCTGGCAGCGCCAGGCAAAAAGGAAAGAAAAGAAAAAGAGTGCCGCGCCAGAGTTCATTTTGGACCTGGTGCGCAGCAGCAAACCGCGACGTGAAAAAGAGGCGGGGAGGTAGTGGTGGTGGTTTAAGAAAAGGGTGCCAGCCCTAGAATTCAGAAACTTGGCACAAGAAAACAGACACAAGGAGAAGGAGTTTGATAAACAGATTGACAATACACAGTTCTCCGTTTGCACGGTTCGACCCCCAGGAAGGCACAAGGGTCTCTCCTTCCCTTCTTTTTTTTCTTTTTCCTTTTTTTTCCCCCGGTAAACATCAACGACGGGTGTAGAGGGTCTCACCTTCTCATTTTTCACTCCTTTCGATCTCTGCAGAAGAGACGTCAACACACACGATAAGATACAAAAAAAGGAACAGATAAGTGAGACTGGGGTAAGGAAAACCAAGTAACAGACCAGCAAAACACAGTTACAAAGTGAAAGACTTGAGTCTTTTTTTTTTCTCCAGGTCATCCACATGGCACACACGTTTAACCGCATGCCAAAATACTAAAATAGTAAAAAAACACACCAGTTGTAATCCATAAGGACGTGTTTGAACTACACGCATAACTAAGATGCATACTCTGTAAAAAGTTGAAAATGCCCGCCCTTTTTTTTCTTATGCAGCCTTTTCAGATAAATGCATGTACAAAAGATCACAGCACCGGCTGTAGAAGCTCCTGTGCTGCTAGACACCCTTTTTTCCTCTTTTTCGTTTTCCCGAGGGGCAATACCGGCATCCCCTCCCTGGTAGCATCCTCGTCAGATGGCTCCAGTCTGCTGGTGGGGAGCAACTCCTGCTGGAAACCAGGTCCACCGTCCCATACAGAAGGTACATGAGAAGGTACATGAGAAGATACATGGAAATCTACAGCACTTGAGCCATTACCCGGCTTCGGCAATCATGACGAGGCTGCAGAGAGGACCACAAAGGAACGAGCTTTTTCCAGACTGCTGCTAGACACCACCTCATCTCCTCCACTTTTTTTGATGTCTCCTTCCCCATCCCACTTGTTCAGAGGGTCTGATACCGCAGGCAATTCGCCTGCCGCGATGTCATTGCTGTTATCTTTCGCTATTTATCCACGGCATGCCTTTCTGAATTGCAACCCTCCTCTCCTGGCCGTAATTAGAATCAGGTCACACTACCAACCGGCCTAGCTCAGTTGGTACACCCCCTTCAGACCCTTTTCAGTGGGAAAAGTGCAGTCACTATAAGTATGTGTCGTATTCCGGGGGAAGGCAGTACCAAAGCCTTATACGTTTACTGCCTTTTGCAGTCCAAGTGCACTCACTATTGAGGATGTGCTGTATTCGGGAGGAAACCGCAGTACTTGCTTTGAGTGCAACAGTGCAGTACTTATCATCTGGGCGGGCAATCAAAAAAAGAGTTCCTTCTTCCATCACCTGACATAACTTTGTGGATTATGCAGATGAGACACCCTTTTAAAGTTGAGACACCCTTCTAAAGTGGTGCTCCCAAGCCAATCAAACCACTCCTACACCACAAAACTTGGGGCAGACCGAGCAGTTAAAGACACCCCTTTAAAGTAGGCATCACTTTTCGGCAGCGTCGGGTCACCACTTGGGACCACCACTGTGTTTAAGCCAATCGCCACAGGAACCTCCTTCCGTTACTGGAAACCGCTATGGCAGCAGCACCACCACAAAAAAAGCACAACGCCTACAGAAATCCAGAAGATAATCAGAAGGTGGGTTTAATAACTTTAATTATTAAACCATCTGTGTTCCCCAGGCAAGATCGTTGCAACTTGCAAGCCATAGGGGCACCACAAAAAGCGCACATGGCATCCAGAAAGCCAGAACATTATGAGATGGTGGTTCAATTAACAAACAGGAACTACTGAGTGAATGGATAGAAAGTACTGGTGCAGGCACATTCACACGAAGAAGAAGCGAGAAAAAAGAAAATTGACTCGTGTGTATGGCACCCCGCAATCCTTTCGTTACGAATCAGAAGCTGCTGGGCTGTAGAATCTCTAGAGTGGATTACGTGGTTGTGTAGCTCGTTCCCCCTATCTCAGTACAGACTTCAAGACCTATTTGCGTATTTCAAAATACCCCGCCCCCCCCTACATCGACCACCAACTCGAGCGTGAATCATGCATGAATCTACTCATGCCGCATCACAAATGTATTTTCTTCAACTTAACGTCCGTTACCCTTTAATTAATTAATGATATCTCTTCGGCATCTGTGAAAATCCAATGCATGCGTACGTTTGTTTACTCTCCAGTACACAGACGATTTCGCGACTCCATTCGCCCTGCCCTGTGCGTGCAGCACGAACTGTCCATGTCATGTTGTCAACTAAGAGAACCCACCACTTGTGCATCCTTCAAGGTTTTCTGTTCCCTTCATGGCTCCACCACCACCACTTGCGCACCCACATATCCTAAAGGCTGGGTTTCCGACGTCTACTGATCTGGCACTAAGCGTGCAAGTAGGCTTGCGCGAATTACCTAGTATTCCCCGTCAGACAGAGATCTTCGTTCGCCTATGCACAGAGGGATGAATCAGACATATCAGCCTCAAGATGGATAAGTTATTGGCCCGCCTCCACAATAAGTAGACAAATCAGCCTCAGCTTAACGGATAAACAGCAAAAGTGGCCAGGCAAGGGCAAGGGACATGAACAAAAAAATCTCTAACAACTCGGCGATGAGGCATATGAAGCTACCACAGCTTCCTGGAAGCATGTGAAGCTTGCCATGTTGAGTTCTCCTCCACATGAAGTGGAAATCTCAGCCTCGGCTTACCGAATAATGCTGACAGCGGTCCGGCATAGGGGCATGAACAAATTTCTAACTGACTCCAGAAACGATACATCACCCACACAAAGGAAATTATCAAAAACCGTTTCTTTCCCCTTTTCTCTTTCCAATGGACTGAAAAAGGAACTGTGATCTAAACCGAAGGTGAAAACTTATAACAACAAAAAACACCCCCACACCGGCATATGAAGCTACCACAGCTTCCTGGAAGCATATGAAGCTTGCCAGGTTGAGTTCTCCTCCACATGAGGCAGAAATCTCAGCCTCGGCTTACCGCATAATGGCAACAGCGGTCGGGCAAAGGGGCATGAACAAATTTCTAAATGGCTCGACAAACGATACATCACCCACACAAAGGAAATTATCAAAAACCGTTTCTCTTCCGTTTTCTCTTTCCAATGGACTGAAAAAGGAACTGTGATCTAAACCAAAGGCGAAAACTTATAACAACAAAAAACACACCCACACCCGCACCCCACCCACCCACCCACACACACACACACACACACACGGATTCAGATTCAGATTAGGAACATAATATATGCAGTATACATTCAGGGCGTCGCCGCACCACTCGAAATGTGCAAAATGAGAATGAACTTCCCGCTAGAACATGGCCAGATGCACCCGCAAAATTTGTCCTTCTCACATTTTGAGAGTGGTGTAGCGAGGCCCTCAATGGCATCACCTGACACAGTTCAATGGCATCACCTGATACAGTTTTGGAAAAAAACATCAGGTCGTGCCAAGCAGTGCCAGCTGTCCGAGGCGAAGACGTTCTCAAAAACAATATCCAACCACAAACAGTTTTGTGCTCGCGTTCACAAGCGTTGTGCATGTTCCTGAAGCCATCTGGAGGCGGTGAATCTTGCAAGCAAAGTGAAACATCAAGCACATGTTGTTTTCACAGACCGCAAGCAGACCACAGAATTATATCAACCGAGAAAACATAGGGAGGCCCTGCCCCGTCTCTTCACATTTGGCTCAGGTCCATTCAACCGTAGACCATCCATCATCAGATAACAAATTAATCGAAGGAATCTGCCTCCAATTGCAGTCAAACACATCCAAGAAAAAAGTTCTGGTCTGAGTGTGCCCTCATTTTTCCAACGCACTTCCCAAGAAATTGTAGAAAGATCTTCGTAGATTTCACGTTTCGCTACCAACGGGCCTACGTCAGTTGATAAACACACGAACTGTTGAAATACAGACCGCAGTTCGAATCCAGATAGAGTCAGATTACCAAACGCAATTCTGGATTACCTAGGGGGGGGCCTTCAGTTCAACTATGATATCTCAAGGCAGTCACCCTTTATTAAGAAAAAAAAAAGGAAAAAAAAAAAGAAAAAAAAAGATTTTAGATTTAACTGGATTTGCCACTGGCCTGCCGGAGTGGGGAATCCAAAATGCAAATCAGGAACATGTTTTGCACCCCTTTCGTAGCTTTTTTTTTGGAGGTGCTCCATTTGCTTGAGTGCAAGCACTACCTTATTCCAGCAATCAGAATGTGGGGTCGTTACATACGTATCTTGTGCAATTTTCATTGCAGACACATATATAATGACCGTCTGTGATGGGATAAGGAACAAAGCGAAGGGTCTTGTGTAGCTTTTCTTTGGATCTGCATCTGAGTGTACTTTCTGCAAGCACTACCTTATTCCAGCAAACACCACCTGAAAGGTTATTAGACACATAACATTTGTATGTAGTGCAATTTTCAGGACACATACAGATAATTTGCATTTGTAATATCTGAGGACAGGTACAGATGTAAAATGACTGTGTGCCATGGGATAAGGTACAAAGCTTCGGGTCGTGTGCAGCTTTTCTTTGGTTCTGCTTTCAAGCATCCCCTGCGTGCCCCCCACTTGCTTGCCTGTAAGCACTACCTTATTCCAGAAAACAGAATGTGGGGTCATTCCATTTGTATCTTATGCTGTTTTGAGGACAGATGCAGATACAACATTTGTATCTTATGCTGTTTTGAGGACAGATGCAGATACAGTGCCTGCATGACAAGAGTCTTGGCCACATTTCTTGTATTTCATTCTGGCTCAGTGCATGCCCAGAATCAATCCAGCGAACGCAGGGCCCGGCTCCACTACTCTCGAAATGCACAAAATGAGAACGAATCCTCCGCGAGAACATGGAAAGATACATTGCCATATTTTTTGTCTATTGTGCATGTCACACTCCGGTCCCATTACCGTTGTGTATTCCGTGGGGGGAAAACGCCAAAACGAAAGGTTCAGAACGTACCCTGGCCTCACAATGGTTGCTAAATGTATTCCCCCCAAAAGAAGGGTTCACCCTCGCCTCATTAGGCCGCAACTTTCAAAACAAGGCTAGAGGAGGTATTCCCTCAATGGGGAGTTTGCGTCACTCTAGACTACACAACATTCTACGTGTATGTGACCTGTGTCATGATGCAGATACATTCAGGTATCTCAACAACCGCCAGATCCAATTACAGTTTTAACACTGAGCAGTGAGCGGAGAGAGGCCCAGCGCGTCTTCAACGGAGGTGGAATGGAAATCAAGGACAACATCAATTAAGACCAGTCAAGACCAGTTGAGGGCACGGTGCCCAATGTCTCCTAAACCACATTTAACTCCAGCCACAAAAGACGAAACCCCAACAACTTTCTCCGTCCTGTCGTGAGTGATAATGTTAAATGCACAAAAAACAGAGACACAGATGCTTCTTTTGAGGCCTCGCTCCACTACTAACCAAG